AAAACCCAAACCAGAAAATAATATATTGTTGAGGATGTGGCGAAACTGGAACCCTTGAGCATTGTTGGTGGGAATGTAAAATGGTGTGGCTGCTGGGAAAACAGTATGGCGCTGTATTAGTCAGGGTTCTCCAGAGAAAACAGAACCAATAGGACATATAGATAGATATAAAGGGGTATTTATTATAGGAATTGGCTCACACAGTCATGGAGGCTGAGAAGTCCCACAGTCTGCTGTCTGCAAACTGGAGAAGCAGGAAAGCCAGTGGTACAACCCAGGGGGCTGCTGGTGTACGTCCTGGAGTTTGAAGGCCAGAGAACCAGGTGCTCCAATGTCCAAGGGCAGGAAAAGATGGATGTGTCAGCTCAGGAAGAGAGAAAGAGAGAAGTTGCCCTTCCTTGGGCTTTCTGTTGTGTTCAGACCCTCAACAGACTGGATGATGCCCACCCACATTGGTGAGGGTGAGTCTCTTTACCCAGTCTACTGAATCAAAAGCTAATCTCTTCCAGAAACACCCTCACAGACACACCCAGAAGCAATGTGTTACCAGCTATCTGGGCGTCCCTTAGTCCAGTCAAGTTGACACAAAATTAACCGTCATGGGCAGTTCCTCAAAAAATTAAAAATAGAATTAATCATAGAATATGATCCAGCCACTCCACTTCTGGGTATATAATCAAAAGAATTGAGGGGCCGGCCCGGTGGCGTAGTGGTTAAGTTTGCGCACTCCACTTCGGCAGTGGCCCGGGGTTCGCAGGTTCGGATCCCAGGCACGGACCGATGCACCGCTTGTCAAGCCATGCTGTGGTGGCGTCCCATATAAAGTTGAGGAAGATGGGCACGGATGCTAGCCCAGGGCCAATCTTCCTCAGCAAAAAAGAGGAGGATTGGCAACAGATGTTAGCTCAGGGCAATCTTCCTCAAAAAAAAAAAAAATAGAATTGAAATCAGCGTCTTGAGATATTTGTATATCCACTTTCACAGCAGCATTTTTCACAATAGCCGAAAGACAGAAGCACCTCAAATGCCCGTCGATGGGTGAATGCATACTCAAATGTGGTCTAGCCACATGATGGAATATTATTCAGCTTTAAAGAGGAAGAAAATTGGGGCCTGCCAAGTGGCATAGTGGTTAACTTCGTGTGCTCTGCTTTGGTGGCCCAGGGTTCTCAGGTTCAGATCCCAGGGCCAGACCTACGCACTGCTCATCAAGCCATGCTGTGGCGGCGTCCCACATACAAAATAGAGGAAGACGGGCACAGATGTTAGGTCAGGGCCAATCTTCCTCAGCAAAAAGAGGAAAATTGGCAATGGATGTTAGCTCAGGGCTAATCTTCCTTGCCAAAAAAAAAAAAAAGGATGAAAATTCTGACACGTGCTATAACATGGATGAATCTTGAAAACATTATGTTAAATCAAATAAGATATTCACAAAAAGGTAAATACTGTAAGATCCCACTTATATGAGGTGTCCTCAGTAGTCAAATTCATAGAAACAGGAAGTAGAGGCCTGGTGACCAGGGACTGGCAGGAGGGGGAAATGGGGAGCTGTTGTTTGATGGGTACAGAGGTTCAATTTTGCAAGATGGAAAAGTTCTGGGGATTGGTGCACATTAATGAGAATATACTCAACCCTACTGAACTGGAGGCTTAAAACTTGTTAAAATGGTAAATTTTATGTTGTGTGTATTTGATCATAATTTTATTTTATTTTTTATTATTTTATTTTTTTTGGTGAAGAAGAGTGGCCTTGAGCTAACATCTGTGCCTATCTTCTTCTATACTGTATACGGGACGCCGCCACAGCATGGCTCAATGAGTGGTGTAGGTCCGCGCCTGGGCTCCAAACCGGCAAACCCCGGGCCACCGAAGCAGAGCACGTGAACTTAACCACTATGCCACCTGGCCAGCCCTTGATCATAATATTAAGGAAACATCTTGAATAATTGTTTTTCTTTGACGGTTTTACACTCTAAAGTTATTCCAGGGTGGGGAGGGGCTGTCTAGTGCTGGTGCTCAATGTATTTGCTGGCATATGCCACTTGCCTTGTTCTCTTGTGTATTTTGTGATTTTGGATTATGAGCTCATTCAAGCCTTCCTCTGTGAGATCTGAGTTGAGCAGCGTCTCTCCAGAGAAGCTTCATTTTTGCTTTGGCCAGAAGCCCCAGGGACATCACGAGCCCAACCACTATCCCATTGATTTCTCAGCTTGGGAGTACCACAACCAGTCAGTGTAATATCACACCCATCCCATATGAGACTGGTCGGGTGTTGACACAATTTTCAACAGAGAATTATTTTTCTTCATCCAGAGCCCCAACAGAAACAGGAAAATCTCTTTGAAGATTTTTTTAGTGCAGGTTGGTGGATTTTTTTTTTTTATCGTGGTAAAATACACACAACATAAAGTGTACTATTTTAGTCATTTTTAAGTGTACAGTTCAGTGGCAATAAGTTTATTCACATTATTGTGCAAGCATCCCCACCATCCATCTCCAGCACTTTTTCATCATCCTAAACTGAAACTCTGTCCCGATTAAACACTAACTCCCCATCCTCCCCAGCCCATGGCCACCACCATTCTACTTCCTGTTTCTATGAATTTGCCTCTTCTAGGTCCCTCATCTAAGTGGAGCCATCCAGTATCTGTCCTTGTGTGTCTGGCGTCTTTCACCTAGCAGAATGTTTTCAAGGTCCATCCATGGTGTAGCGTGTGTCAGAATTTCCTCCCTTTTTAAGGCTGAATAATATTCTGTTGTATGTAGGTTGCTGGGGTTTTAAACACCAGGCTTTCACTGAAGTTGTGACCCTCTGAGTTTCACCTTGAAACCTGTGTCCACATCACAGTGTCAGCAAATTCCAGGAAGCTGCATGGTCATTTCACACTTTCCACTGAGAGTTTTGCTTTGTTCTTAAGTTTTCTTCTTCCCTCTCATCCCTTCTGCTTCTCTGAACTTTCTTTCCACTTTGCTTCCTTTTCTTTCTTTTTTTGAAGATTTCTCTTTCTTCTTAAAAGCTCACCCCATGCATTTAGAAGAATGTTTGGAAGGAGGCAAGAGAGCAGTCAGGGCTACAGCGTGGAATTTTGGGGGAGCAGGAGTAACTTGATCTAATTTTGAACTTACAGAGAAGTTTGAAGACTTGTACAAAGAACTCCTTGTATCCTTTACCTGGGCTTCCCAATTATCACTATTCCCGCCCTCCCATTTGCTTTATCATTCACCCTCTATCTCTCCATGTTATTACATATTTACATTTCCAGAAACATTTGACAAAACATTGGAGATATCATGCCCCTTTGTCCTAAATACTTCAGTGTGTATTTGCTAAGAACAAGGACATTCTTTTTAATAATCACAATGCAAGGGTCAAAATGAGAAAATTTAATGTGGATAAATTACTACTATCTAATGTACAGAACTCACTCCACTTTCATCAAGTATCTTACTAATGTCCAGGATGTCATCTGGATTGCTCAATGAACTGTATTTTCTTGTGCCGCCTCTCTGGTCTCTGTTGATCTGAAACATTCCTCCCTTTTTCTTTCTCAACCTTGACATTTTTGAAGAGTCAAGGCCAGTTGTTTTGCAGAAGGTCCCTCAATTAGAATTTGTCTGATGTGGCCTCACGATTAGATTCAAGTTAGGCAGCGCAGTTTCTTAATCTTCCCAAATCCCACCCCCTGCCCCCAAAAACATGCCCAAGTAGGGCAAACAAAGCTCACAAACAACATCTTCCACAAAACCAGCTCACAATGGAGCCCCATGAGCCAAAATATAAGTGGGTGGGGCCAAACCAGTACCAGAACAGGAAGAAAAAGAAAGAAACACAAGTGTTGTGAAGATTGAAGATTTCCCACCAGTCCTCACCCCCTAGAGGGGAAGGCTGCCCTCACAGCTGAGGACGTGGTTGCAGAATCTGAGAACAGCGGCTGTCAAATCCTCTGTGCACGTGCGTGGTGTGTGTGTGTGTGTGTGTGTGTGTGTGTGTGTGTGTCTTTGGGTCTTCAATCAGTAGGTGGGTATAGCGGCTATAGGAAGGTTGGAAGAAGCCGGGGTGTTCTGGGTCCTCAGAGATCTCATACTTAATAGAATCTCTCTTTTGGAAGGAGAAAGCTCCTACTTAAAAAAATTATTATTGAAATATATTTGACATATAACATTGTGTAAATTTAAGGCACATAACACGTTGATTTGACATATTTGTATATTGTAATATGATTGTCATTGTAGCAATGATTAGCACCTCTATCGTGTTACATAATTATCCTTTCTTTTTGGTGGTTGGACAAAGTCCCTTCTTGTGAAAGGATGTCATTACACTCCAAAGCCCATAAGCACCTGGATGGAAGCATTCAGACCCTCAACTCCTCTTCCTGAGACCCAGGACTCCCAATCTCCAGTTCCTCCACCCTCGAACCAGGAGTCTGGGCCCCCAACCCTTCCTCCCACTGATCAGGGTGTCTCAGCTCCTATTCTCCTATTCTCCTGGGACCCAGGTGTCCAGATGTCTGGCCCTCTGATCCAGGCAGGACCCAACAGTGCCATCCTAGCACCAATTACATCCTCAGAATGCAAGAGTCCTTCCCCCAGCCCTGAGGACCAAGATGTCTTCCCATTCCTAGTGCTAAATGAACCCAGAAAACTACGTCTCCCATGAGGCTGTGGGTCTGCAGCATCACACACAGACACACAAAAATCCCGTTACTGAGGTACCCCTGAGAAATAGTTCCACAACACTAACACGAAGTTGGGGCATGGGTGGGGTGGTGGGGATGGTAAGTCCGGTCCTGTCAAAGGGCGAGGGTGAGGATAGTCCAGAGTCCCTAGGGACACCTTAGCGGAACAGAAAACTGAGGCCCAGGGGTAGGCTGGGACCCTCTCGCAGCCTTACAGCAACGGGGGGCAGAGGGACTTTGGGGGTCAATGGGAGACAAGGAGGAAGACACCATTTTCTCCCTCAAACAGTCACGCGTGCTCACTCTGATCCTCCTCTCAGACTCTTTATTATCCCAAGTAAGAAAAATAAAAAAATAAATAAGATAAATAACCCAATAAATAAAGAGGAGACCCAATGACAAACAGCCTGTGGCTTTAGGAGGCGTAGCTGGGGCTTCGGCCGTGTGAAGGCCCCACCATGCTCAGGGGGTCTGAGGAGCCCACGTCTGGAGGCTCGGGAGCCAGGATCCCTGGAGGCTCTGGGGGCGCTGGGGGCAGGCCTGGCAGCGGCAGGAAGCGGGCAGGTCCCCGAGGGGCTGGATCCCAGTGTGGGGAGCTGTGGGGGGGCAGGCGGAGCGGGAGGCCAAGGGCTTCGGACTGGTAGACGTTGTAGCCATCTTCAAGGAGCAGCTCCCGGAAGCTGCAGGCCGCGGGGTCGAAGTGGAGCTGAGTGGACAAGAGCAGAGATCAGAGACGTGAGATTCCTCTACACCCTCCTGCTGCAGGACCCAGGGGTCTAGGCCCCCACCCTATCCTCTCCCAGAGCCAGGAGTCCAGGCACCCAGTCCCTCCTCCCTCAGACCCAGGGTCCAGGCCCCAGCCCCTCCTCCAGGACACCACAGAATCAGGCTCCTCTTTCATGCCTCTTTAAGGCCCACCTTCCTGCCCCCACTTCAAAAAGAGGAACATTCCAGCCCAGGGACAGGTCAAGGCTAAGGTCAAGCAGAGGCATTTGGCTGCCACCCAAGGTCTTGGTCCCTCTACAGGCCATGGGTTCCCTGAGTGACCCCACGTCCAGGATGAGCCAGGCCCACAGGAACCCGTGTGGTCAGCAGGGGTTACTAGTCACAAGACTTGGCCTCTCAGGCCACTCTGCCATTCGCAGGCCTCGTGACTCAGGGCTGGTCCTGGATCTGCCTGAGCCTCGGTTTCCTCTTCTCGCAAACGTCGCTAACAACGGCTCCCACCTCCAGGGCTTTCAGTGAGGTTGGGGCATGCAGAGAGTGTAGAACCAACCAAGCCTGGCCCGGGGCCACAGGTGCAAGATGTGGTACCCCAGATTGTGAAGATGATTGGAGGAAGGGTGGAGTGCAAGGAGGGAGGTCCCGGAAACTCACCGATCCATACAGCGTCCCATCTGGCCCCTGGCACAGAAACCTGGATGTCTTGACTCCCAAGATTTGTATGACTCCGGGCTTCAGGGCTTTCAGCTCCAACAGACCTGAGCGGAGAAATTGGTCAGGGATTCATAGGGCCTTTTCCCAGCCCCCTCCTCCCTCAGACCCAGGAATCCAGGACCCCAGCCCCTCCTCCCTCAGGACTAGGCCCTGCCCCCACACTCACTTTCAGGGCTCCGGTGGGCAGCCCCTGCCACTGTGCCATCAGCCCTGATCTCCAGGTGGGCCTCTGTCTCCTGGGCGTCGTCTGTGTAGAGATAACGCAGCCGGACTTGGCCCCCGAATTGGAGGAGGGGGCTGGAGTCAGGGATGGGGTGTGCCTGGCAGGCTCCCAGTAGAAAGACAGCCAGCACAGGGACCCACAGTCCTGGGTGCTCCAACCCGGCCTTGTTCCAGTCCATCAATGGCTCACGTCCTCAGGCGAGGTCTGGGGTCTAGGATTTGAAGAGCTGAATGGTCTAGATTCTGTTTCAGATCCTGGTCGTCTGGGAAAGCAGATTCACGGATTGCTGCTCAGAGAGCCCAAGTGCCTGGGTCCTCTCGCGTGTGGACTCCCAGCTGAGAGGACAGCCAATTCTCTTGGGATGGATGCAGAAGCTCGGGAATTTATATCCTGACAGACCTGCCCAATCACCTTCCCCATGCCTGACCCATGATATTTGACCCACTTGGCGGTAGCTAGGACTCTACCGTGGCCAGGTCAGCCTGAACGGATGATGCAATCAGGGGGTCCTTCCAGCTAGGGGCCTGGACTCCTGAGTCTGGGGGAGGAGGGGGTTGGGGGCCTGGACTCCCAGGTCTAGGGGATGAGGGGCTGGGGGCCTGGACCCCTGGGTCTGAGGGAGGAGGGGCTTGGGGCCCCGACTCCCAAGTCTGGGAGAGGAGGGGCTGGGGAATGGACTCCCGGGTCTGGGGGAGGAGGGGCTGGGGGCCCGGATTCCTGGGTCTGAGGGAGGAGGGGCTGCAGGTCTGCACTCCTGGGTCTGAGGAAGGAGGGGCTGGGTCTGGACCCCTGGGTCCGAGGGAGGAGGGGCTGGGGGCCCAGAGTCCTGGGTCTGAGGGAGGAGGGGCTGGGGCCCAGAGTCCTGGGTCTGAGGGAGGAGGGGCTGGGGCCCAGAGTCCTGGGTCTGAGGGAGGAGGGGCTGGGGGCCCTGGACTCCTGGGTCTGAGGGAAGAGGGGCTGGGGGTCTGGACTCCTGAGTCTGAGGGATGAGGGGCTGGGTCTGGACTCTGGGATCTAAGGGAGGAGGGGCTCGGGGCCCCACTCTTGAGTCTGAGGGAGGAGGGTCTGGAATGTTGGAAAACCGCCTCCCTGGCTGACTGATGCAGACTGTGTCCCACCACTGGAATTTCTGCATTCCACCTGAATTTCTAGGTTTCTGGGGGTCACTGAGGTTCCTTGATCATCAGGAAAGCACCAACTGCCACATGACAAAGCATCCTGCACAGGGACACAGGTGTCCTGGCCTTTAGCCTCTCGCCTGACCTCAAGCCAACCTCAACGTCACTAACCCCTGCCCAGACACCCAAGGTCCAGGCCGCCTCCTCCTCCCTGATGTAATCCTGGTGTTTCTTTCACCAGAGAAGCTACGGCAGGCCCAAACAGGCGCTCCAAAAATAGCGTGGGAGTGGGGGCGGGGAGGATAAAAGTCTCTGACTCAGAGTTGGCAGCAGAGCCAGGCTCTTGAGGGGGCTGAGGGAGCCCAAAGGGAATGCGGTGTGGGCAATTTCCTGAAACCTACGGGTGCAGGGACTGGACACTCGGGTCTGAGGGAGGAGGGGGCTGGGGGCTGGACTCCCGGGTCTGGGGGAGGAGGGGCTGGGGGCCTGCATTCCCGGGTCTGAGGGAGGAGGGGCTGGGGGCTGGGATTTCTGGGTCTGGAGAACTTGTGGTCAAGTCTCTGAAGCGTTAGGTCGAATTCCTGAGTCTTTGACTTTGATTTATTGAATGACAATGGTCAGACAGCTCGGCCGGGTGGGTGGAGGGGGGAGCCGCCTTCCGCAGTAGAAACAGCTTCAGATCTGCAGGGGAGCAGAGGCCTTTGTCCTGCGCCAGCAGCCGCGCCCTCAGCGGGAGGCAGGGAAGACACACTCTCTTCCACTCTAGCTTTCTTCATTCCCCTCCTCGACAAAGGCTGCCTTCGCCACGTGCCGGTCTAGAAAGCAGTAGTCAGGCGGCAGACCCTAGAATGCCCCAAAAGGAGAGGCTGGGGCCCGAATTTGCGGGTGGACGGGGCGGATATGGGGATCAGCTGCCCTTGGTGGGCGCGGGGACACCTTCAGGCTGGAGGCTCCCACGCCTGGGACCCTGAGAGCTGGAAGAGGCCGTCCAGGCGCTCCTGGAGCAGCCTGGCAAAACAGGTTCTCCATCTCCACCGGGAGGCTGCGGCAGGGGAGGAGGATCTCCCTCCCCGCCGGGACCTGGTGTTCCAGCCCTTCCCAGCGGCTGGGGCGTGGCCGGGCTGTGTGCATCCAGGTACACAGTGCAGACCCAGGCACCGGAGGGGAAGGGAGAGAGATCGACGGACCAGAACGCCTAGGTCCAGCATTGCAGCTGGGCGCTAGATCTCCATGTCCACGGAAGGATGCGGCTGCTAGGAGGCCAGGTAGGCTGCCCCGGGCGGAGCCTCCTCTCTGGCCAGTGCCGGGGAGGAGGGGGCTGGGTCGCGGTCCCCGGGTCTGGGGGCGTGAGGGGGGGCAGAAGGCGGGGGCTACCACCCTAGCCCCGGGCGCCAGGACTCCTCGCCAGGGAAGGGGCGGGGCTCCGCCTAGGAGCTACCTGCGAGGCAGCCCAGGAGGGGCGGAGGCTGTGAATTCCGGACCGCGCCCCCGTCTCCATCCTCCCCTCCCCGAGCCCTTGCAGCCAGTCCCGGGAGGCGGCGTGGAGGGGAGGGCTGCTGGGCCTGGGAACCTGGAGTCCGGGGTTCCGGGGACGGCCGGATGTGGGCCGCACTTCCAGACCGTGCGCTCCAGCCACGCCAGGCCGTCTGTGGATCTGCCACCCGCCAGCAGCTCAGGTGAGTGAGAACTGCGGATGCCTCGGACCCAGCAATCGGGGCCTTCAGCCCGCCCAACTTCTAACCCCGTGCAACCGGAGGAGTCTCCCCACCCCCACTCCCCACTCCTGCTCCTCCAGGGACCAAGATCCCTCATCCAGTCCTGGGCCTACAGCCTCACATGTTCCTCTTGGCCTGTTGCTCCTGGTCACCTCGGTGGTGGACTCTGCCCCTCATACACCTGGGAAAGGAGTTGGTGGAACATTGATCCAACTTCAGTGGCCCTTCCAGGCCTGGAGAGCGAGATTCCAAGATGTGGGGATGAGGAGCTGGATCCTGGACCACTGCTGTCTAGGAAACCACCAATTTTTCACCATCTCCCATCCTCATCCCCTGAAATTGCAAGCCCCCAGCTTCTCCTCTCTCAGATCCAGGAGTCCTGGACCCTGATCCCCCTTTCTCTCAGACCCAGGGGGCCGAAACCTTAGTTTCCTCATCGCGTCTCAGGCTCTGAGCACCTGCTAATTCACCTTTCCTCCCCTGCAGCCATGTGGGCCCCTAGCCCACGTCATCTCTGTCTGACCTTCCTGCTAGTCTGTGTTCTTTCGTCAGTCTTCTTCCTCCACGTCCATCAAGACCTCTTTCAGAGTGGTGTAGACCTGTTTGCCCTGTGTCCAGACCGCCGCGTGGTGACATCTCGTGTGTCCATCTTATGCCTGTCGGGCACGCCGATGACCTCCAACACCTCCCTTTCCTGTCCCGAGCAGCCTGCCTCCCTCACAGGAACCTGGACCATCTACCCAGATGGCCGGTTTGGTAACCAGATGGGGCAGTATGCCACGCTGCTGGCCCTGGCCCAGCTCAACGGCCGCCAGGCCTTCATCCTGCCCGCCATGCACGCTGCCCTGGCCCCCGTGTTCCGCATCACCCTGCCTGTGCTGGCGCCCGAGGTGGACCGCCACACGGCTTGGCGAGAGTTGGAGCTGCACGACTGGATGTCGGAGGAGTATGCCCACTTGAAGGAGCCCTTGCTGAAGTTCACTGGCTTCCCCTGTTCCTGGACCTTCTTCCACCATCTCCGAGAACAGATCCGCAGCGAGTTCACCTTGCATGACCACCTTCGGCAAGAGGCCCAGGCTTTACTGAGTCAGCTCCACCTGGGCCGCACGGGGGGCCGCCCGAGCACCTTTGTGGGTGTCCACGTGCGCCGTGGGGACTATCTGCAGGTTATGCCCCAGCGCTGGAAGGGTGTGGTGGGCGATCGCGCCTACCTCCAGCAGGCTATGGACTGGTTCCGGGAGCGGCACGAATCCCCCATCTTCGTGGTCACCAGCAACGGCATGGGGTGGTGCCGGGAAAACATTGACACCTCCCGGGGGGATGTGATCTTTGCTGGCAATGGGCAGGAGGGCTCACCGGGGAAGGACTTTGCGCTGCTCACGCAGTGCAACCACACCATCATGACTATCGGCACCTTCGGCTTCTGGGCTGCCTACCTGGCTGGTGGAGACACTGTCTACCTGGCCAACTTCACCCTGCCCGACTCCAACTTCCTGAAGATCTTTAAGCCTGAGGCTGCCTTCCTGCCTGAGTGGGTGGGCATTAATGCAGACTTGTCTCCACTCCAGACACTGGCAGGGAGACTTCCTGGAATAGCCTGATTGATCAAGGGCCAGCATTGTGCTTCTCTGGAGGCCTAGCAGCTTCTGGAGAAGGTTGTGGTCCTGCAGCAGGTGGGTACCCACTTCTAGAGTGATTCTAGTTGGCTAGAATTTGAAAGAAAGGGGGGCTTTCTGCAACTGCCTGAACGTTCTAGAACCATCAGAAGATCTTTTTCCTGATGGCTGGCAATGTCTGGAGAAGCTCCTGGCAGGTCTAGAAGGCACAGTGCCCACCTGCTCTTCAAGCCCATATCCAGAGTACTTCTAGATGACTGCCCCCCAGGAACGGGGAACTCCCCCCTCTAGTTGACCATCCTGGTCTTTTCTAGAAGAGATGTTTCTCCTCCCCTGGATCCTCAGGATTGAAGGAACTCGGGTGGTTCTAGAGGAAGCACTCACCAACTCCCTTTCTGTGTTTCTGGGGTGATTTTAGAGGGGAGGACTTGCTTTAGAGAGGGCCAGTTCTAATGCCTGTGAAGAACCCTGCAGGGCCCTTCTAGAGGGACTGGGGTTCTGGAATTCCAGATGACTTCAGCGAAGAATCTAATGAAGGTACTACCAGAAGCTCAACATGTCACCACTGCCAGAAAGATTGATAGAAGACAGTCTCTCAGTAGCTGCAGAAGTGTGTGAGCAGAGCGGAACTCTGTCCCACCTCTCAGCACCTGAAAAAACCACAAAGACTTTTTTGGGGAGCAGATAGACTTAAAAAGTGGGAAGTGGGGAAGAGGGCTGGCTTGCTGAAATGCTGCAGCTTTTGGAGCAAGGCTTCCAGAAATCCAGGGACACTTTTTTTTTTTTAAGCTCAAAAACTGCCAAAGACAGGCACGGCACATCTTGGCTCCGAGTTCGGGTTGTCTCTTCCCAATTAAGCTGGGCTGCTGGGGGTGATGGGATCGATTTTCTGGAACTTTCTGGAAGTCAGCTGGCATAAACGTGCCCTCTGGGCTTGCAGAAAGCTGCAGGAATTGTTCCCCTTGGCAATCATTGTCTGCCCCTGAATTCACAGAGCCACTAAATCTGGCTTTGGGCAAGTCGAAGATGAAAGGGTCTGAAGGGATGCAGACCACGGATTGGCCTCAGACGCAGCCAGGAGGGGTCTGGCCAAGGAGATTGGGATTCTTGATTCAGATTTCAGGAGCCCCTTGGTGCTTTTTGAAGGGGGTAAAGGTAGATACTTTATCACAGTTGTCTAAGAATCTAAGCCCCTTTTCTAGTCTTCTCAGGGAGTGTTGGGGGACCATTCCCTACTCAGCTGCCATAGGTGGGAGAGTGGGAGGTATGAATTAAAAGTCCACCTCACCAACCCCTGTGTCTGCAATTTTTTTTGGAGTCTTGTGTGCCCGAGTGTGTGTGTGAGTGAGTAGGATGAAAGGTGGGGAACTTCCGGGGACTGTCATGACTCATGTCTCGGGGTATTGTCTCTGCTCAGATCTGGCAGCCTCTTGTTGCCGGACTTGTGTGAGCTGTGGTCTCTGAGCCCCAGTTCTTTTCTTCGGGACTCAGTATTGGCCCCCAGACCTCTCTTCCTCTGAGACCTTGGCGCCCGGTCCCAGAAACGGGAGAGAAAGTGGAGGGAGTGGGCCAGAGTGTAATTCTTGAACTACATTTCCCATAAAGCTATGGGGTTGGCTGCGGTAATCAGCTAGGGAGAGACCCCGAGGCCTTCTGGGAGTCGTAGTCCTAGGGCTAGAAAGGGCCACTTCCCTCGTCTTTGTGGCTCGACGCCAGGGTTTCCAAAGGGCAGTGGGCATCTAGCCGGAAGCCTCGGTCCTGGGCCCAGGGAGGGGAGGAAGCTGAAGGCCAGAAGCCAGTTCCTTGGCCCTGGAAAGCTAGAGCAGACACGGTACTTCCCTTTCTGTAGATGCTGGGAAAGTTCTAGTCTGAAAAGACGGCCGCCTCTGTGACATCAGAGCGATAGGCGGGGCCTCCTTTTGTTGGAGTCCAATCAGATTCAGAGTTGGGCTTCTGGGCGGGGCCAAGGAAACCCCAGGGAATATGTCTAGGGAATTGGGCCCCTGGTGGGAAGCTAGAAGGCGGAGGCTGTGGGAGTTCCCTGTCGATAGGAGCGAACCGTGACTCTGACCCCAGTCAAAAGCCCCCTATACCATGCAACCATCCTCATCCTCGCCCCCAACAAGATCCTTAATTTTAGTCGTGGGAAAATATTAGATTGGAAGGACGTGGCCCGGTCGCCTTCTCTTAAAAGCCCTCGGAACTTGGACTCGGCTCTTCAGCGAACCCTAGTGTTTGAGGGTACAACAGTCAGGAGTCAAGGTCGGGCAGCGGTTGTTTAGGGTGCATCGGGACTTCTCGGTTTCCTAAAGAGAAGGGTGAGCCCTGCAAACGCGGGGTCCGTTAGTCTCGGGGAGGGGCTTCTCTCGGTTTGGCTCTCACCTCCTCTCGGTTTGGGGTGAGAGAACAGCCCCCCACCCCCCGGCTCTGCGCGCTCTGGCCGCGATGGGGCCACGACTTCCCCTCCTGGTGGTCGCGCTGGCCGGCTGTCTGCTTCCTGCCCGAGGCTGTGTCATGTGTGATTCAGAGGTCGTGGAGGCGCTAAACTCCTTGGAGAAGGATTACCTGCCTGGCCACCTGGAGCCCAAGCATCACAAAAACGTGATGAAAAGGGTAAAGCAAGCCGTGCAGGATTTCAAGGAACTGCCGTTTGACGAGGATTCCTATATGGGGGTCGTCGGTGAGGGCAGGGCGGAGCGCGGACTTTTGGGACCTGGGAAAGGAGGGGTCTGGGGCCAGAATTGCTGGGTCCAGGGGGGAAAGGGCTGGAGGCGGAGTCTCCTGGGTTTGGAAATGGAGAAGGGTGGGACCCAGATTCCGGGGTTCCCCAGGGCCAGCAGATATCGTGTTCTCGTACCCCTTATCCTGTAATTTTATGCAAAGAAAACTACAACTCCCAGAAGGCAACGGGCGGATAACCCCCTTAACCAGGCCTATTCTTGCCCAGTGGACCCATGGGTATTGTAGTTTCTAAGACTAGGCGAGCCAATGAGACTCCAGTAACGCTGAAATCTGGTGTTCTGTCTCAGATGAGCCCACACTGAAAAAGGCATCCTGGAGTTTCCTGAAGGATCTGAAACGCATCACGGACAGTGATGTAAAAGGTAAATGCACAGAGCTGCCAGGGGAGGGGCTCCAGAATCTCTCAGGGAAGTAATCGCTAGTGGCGCCTGGTCTGGTGGTCAGATACCGGGCTCCGGAGCCAGACTGCCAACGTTCAAATTCTGGCTCTGCCACTTTCCAGCTGTATGGCCTTGAGCGAGGGATTTCGCAGCTTCCTCACCTCTAAAAATGGAGACCATAACAGTGTCTTCATCCCAGTTGTTGCTTAGTCAAGTGGCCAGTATTATGTTAAGTGGTCATTCAATTTCACTCTTCTTCCCTGAGAAGGCCGGAAAGCAGAATGCCAGGCTCTGCAGACAGAGGCAAACTTCCTGTACCTCACACCTGGGAAGGGGTGGGGGGTGGACCCGCTCCGCGTCATCCTGCTTCTTCCCAGGTGAGCTCTTCGTGAAGGAGCTGTTCTGGATGTTGAGCCTGGAAAAGGACAACTTTGCCAGCTACGCTGCTCAGTTCCAAAAAGAGGGTGAGGGAAAATGGGACCCCGGCAACCCAGCCTCCTCCCTCCACAGTCCAAGAGTCCCTGTCCCCAGCCCCTTGCTTCTCCAAGTCTGGTCCCTCAGCTCTCACAACCCCCTCCTCCCTCAGACCCAGGGGTCCAGGCACCCAGGTCCTTCCTCCCTCAAACCCAAGAGCCCCCAGCCTCTTCCTTCACCCCCTCTGTCATCCCCTTTAACTTAGAAATCTGATTCTCATTTTTTTTCTTTCTCCGGAGGCAGCTTTTTGTCCCAACAAATGTGGTGAGTCCGGATTATGGGAGCTGGTCCTCTATGCCTCATCCCTGCCCCGTGAATACCCAGCCTTTCGCCTCCCCCGTTTGGGTCTCGGGGTTTCTTCATTCTCCGCGTCTAAGAGGTTCCTGGGTCTCCAGGATTCCTTCCGCGCTTCTGAGTTCTTGGGGAGCGAGTCACATTCTATTTGCACTCTTCGCTGAGCCTTCCTACAGGGCTGCGTTCGAGCCCCGCCCCTCGGGCTGACCTCCTAGGGATCCGGCACAGGACCGCGCCCCAGCCCTTGGCCCTGCCCTCTTCTTTTAGCCCCTCCTCTTAGTAGGTGAACACAGCCTTGACCCTGACCCCTCAGGTATGATGTTGCAGACTATGATCTGGTGCAGTAACTGCGAGAAGCAGGTTCACGCTTGTCGCAAGTCCTCGGATTGCGGGGGTGAGACAGCTGGGCCCAGCAGGAGGTGTGGGCGTGAGAGGGGCGGAGCCAGAAGAGAGACTGAGTCTAGAGGGGCCGGATGCTGGAGCCAGCAGACAAGAAGAGGCGGGCCGAGACCGAGTGGAAGGGGGTGGGGGAAGGGCCAAGAATCTCACAGTGACCCCCCCATCCCCAGAGCGCAAGGTCAAGGTCCATCAAATGGAAGACATGATCCTGGACTGTCACCTCAACTGGCATCAAGTGTCTCAAGGCCTGACCGATTACAGCTTTTACAGGGTGGGGCCCTCCAACTCCTGTAACCCTTGAACTCCAAGTCCATCAGGCCGTGTGAGCCCCCTGGTCCCTGTATCCACACGCCTGCGCCCCCATGACCCATGGCCCACCAAGTTTGGCTTCTACTGACCCCCCGGGGGCCCCATGCCCCGACCAGTACACCCTGGACTCCCATCTCCCCCACCGAGGCCCTGTGATCTTCTCACCCCTGGACTCCCCCGACCCCTGAATTCCCCAGGCCTCTGTGACCCCTTGAGCTTGGGTCTAGGTTTGGGGGAACAATGCTGAGACCTTGGTGTCCAAGGGGAAAGAGCCCACCCTGACCAAGACCATGGTGGGTCCAGAGGATGAAGGCACCTACCGCTGCGAGCTGGGTACCGTGAAGTCCGGCCCAGCCACGGTCATCCATTTTCACGTCACAGGTCAGCACAGGGGAGCTGAGAGAAGTGTGGGTGGGATTAAAGGTCCTGGGGTTGGGGGCTGTCAATTTCAGGGGGGCGGCCTATGGGGCTTAACTTCCCGTTGGGGTGTGGTTTCGGAGTGTGGCTTCCCGCCCTGGGTGTGGCCTCTGGCCATGGTGGCAGGGTTCCCCTCAGGGTTCCGGCTTCACGCAGTCGGAGGCGTGATTATCTCCTGGAGGGCCTGGGTCCTGCGGCGGGTTGAGGTGGGGAGGGCCTGCCTTGGCCATGGCGGGACCTTCGCGCCCTCCCAGGACTGCTCCTTCCTCCTCTTCTATCAGTGTTGCCCAAAAGAATTGAGGAGGAGATACCGTTACCAGGCGTCCCAACCCAGGGTGAGGTGACCTTGGCTCGCCCCCAGTCGCCCACAACCCTGCAATCTCCGCCGTCACTGTCGCTGAATCCCGTGAAGATGCTGCGAGGGCGCCTGATAGGGCTGCTGATCTGGGGCTCTGTGGTGCTAATAGCCTGCATCGCGACCGTGTGAGCCGCCCACTGAAGGCAGGGCTTGGAGTGCGGGGCGGGGCTTCCAAAAACCTAACGCAGCGGGGTTTCTGGGAGCTACGGTGCTCTGAGCTGGACTTCCATTGGGGATGGGGCTTAGAAAACGGGGCGGGGCTTAGAAAACGGGGCGGGGCTTAGAAAACGGGGCGGGGCTTAGAAAACGGGGCGGGGCTTACCTCGGGGGGCGAAGCTTGGATAATTACTAGAACGAGGTCAGATATCGGGAGGCTGGGAGGGGTATCCCTCACTCGGTTAGGACCTCACCTGGTTCCGCTATTTGCACCTACCCTCCCCCAGGATAATTTGCTTGCGGTCTGGGAAGATCCTCGATTCCATGAAGTCCTGGTTTGGCACTGTCAGTGGAACTGCTCAGCAACCCCAGGTTCCAGAGGAAAAGGCCAAGAAATCAAGGAGCAAATAAAGATTTATCTGGTTGTCTAAGTATCTGACTCACTCCTTGGGTCTGATCCTAACTTTTCCTTCCTCGAGAGGAGAGGTCTGGGGATGGTCTCCTGTCTGAGGAAGGAGGGGCTGGGAACCGGGCCCCCTGGGTCTTGGAAGGGACCAACTGGCTGCGGTGTTTAATTCCAGAATCAAGGAGCGGGGCAGGACCAACCCTACCCAGATCTCCTCCCCCAGGCCCGGTCCCCTCACAGGACGCCCCCTCCCCGCTCTTCCTGCCGGGTTTCCTCTCTCCTTTTCCTGTCCCCCACCCAGTGCCGGGAGCTGGGGCAGAGGCTGAGCAGGAGCAGTGGGGTCAGGACCAACCCAGGCCAGCGGAGCCAGGGCCCCCGGGTGCTGCGGGGACCCGAAGCAGGGTAAGACTCTGGGACCCAGGAGTCCATCCCCAGCTGCCTCCCATCCCTCTCCTCCACCCCGACTGCTCGGAGCCCCAGCCCCCTCCGCCCTCACTCAGGAGTCCAAGTCCCCCTCCACCTCATCCTCACCACTCAGGGGATGCCCACCCTTCCTTAGGGCCATGCTATCTGGTGAACGGAAGGAGGGCGGAAGCCCCCGCTTCGGAAAGCTCCATCTCCCGGTGGGCCTGTGGATCAATTCTCCCCGGAAGCAGCTGGCCAAGCTGGGGCGGCGCTGGCCCAGCGCCGCCTCCGTCAAGTGAGTGCCCACCTCCTGGGGACTCCCGCCCCTGCCCCACCTAACTCCTATCGGTCCCTGTTTATGACCGCGTCCCTGCACTGGGTAATGCCAGGGACCCCGAAAAGGTTGGCTTCTGTTCCTGACCTGAATGGGCAAGCAAGCTGGCAGGCGGGAGGAGACACTGGGCCACAGGGATATAGGGCCTGGTGGGGGAAGTGCTGGGTCTGGAGATGGGCTTACGCCGGATGGACCTGGGGATGGGGACATAGGAGCAGTGCCTTGATTCGCCTTCCTTCCTCCCCTCCCTTTTCACCTCTTGGAATTTCCTTCTGTGGGACTCACCTTTATTTATGTATTTTCTCTCTCTTTTTGCTTCTCGCCTCTGTCCACCTCCCATCTCCCTATGCCCCTCGTCTCTTGCCCTTCTGTGGGTCTCGCTCCCTCTCTGACTCTTTGTTGCCCTCTTTTTCTGGGTCTCTGACCCTCCCTCTCTGGGTCTCTGTCCCCTCCATCTGGATCTTTGCCCACCTCCCTCTTCCTTCTCTAAACCCCACTCCTGTTTCTGCGTGCCTGTCTGGGTCTCTCTCTCGCATCTCTGCGGGCTCCCAGGTCTTCATCTTCCGACACGGGGAGCCGCAGCAGCGAGCCGCTGCCCCCGCCGCCGCCGCACGTGGAGCTGCGGCGGGTGGGCGCGGTCAAGGCGGCCGGAGGAGCCTCGGGGAGCCGCGCCAAGCGCATCTCCCAGCTCTTTCGGGGCTCGGGGACCGGGGCCACGGGGTCCGGCAGCGCGGGAGGCCCCGGGACTCCGGGGGGCGCGCAGCGCTGGGCCAGCGAGAAGAAGCTGCCGGAGCTGGCGGCGGGCGTGGCCCCGGAGCCCCCGCTGGCCGCCCGCGCCACAGCGCCCCCGGGGGTCCTCAAGATCTTCGGCGCGGGGCTGGCGTCGGGCGCTAACTACAAGAGCGTGCTGGCCACGGCGCGCTCCACGGCGCGCGAGCTGGTGGCCGAGGCGCTGGAGCGCTACGGGCTGGCCGGCAGCC